GAAGAGCGTGGGTAGTCCTCCCCTTGAGGAGGAAGGAGCACCAGAGACAATGTGTGATGCACTGACTGCAACCCCCATTCCCCTGCTCTGCTTGGCAGGAGGAGGGAGAGAAATAAGGAACAAAGTTAAGCCTGGGAAGAAGGGAGGAGCGGGGGGAAGGTGTTTGTAAAATTTGGTTTTATCTCTCATTAGCCTTCTCTGATTTGATTGGTAATAAACGAAGTTATTTCCCAAGCTGAGTCTGTTTTGCCCGTGACAGTAATTGGTGAGTGATGTCCCTGTCCTTATCTCAACCCATGAGACTTTCGTTATATTTTCTCTCCCCTGTCCAGCTGAGGAGGGAAGTGATAGAGCAGCTCTGGTGGGCACCTGGTGTCCAGCCACGGTCAACCCACCATACATGGGACACCAGGGAGGACCACAGGCCAACAGCTGCAGCACCACTGTCCCCAAACCAGGTTATAAAACAGACCCAGTGCAGGCCTGAGAGCTGCCAAGAGACCTCAAGAGCGAGGGGGATAATGCTCACCTGATCTCCTGCCGTTCCTTCATCCACTCCAGCAATACTTGCTTCGACTCTGCATCCTGATACATCTGCAAAGAAAACAGCAGAAAGGACGACATCGCATCAGTTCTGCAGACCACACTCCAGCTCCCTCCAGTTTCCACTGTAACTCACAAACCCACAAATGCACTGCACCAGGAGGCTGAGACATTTTTGAGAACACAGGAGGCAAGATGGTACATCCCCCAGTTCCCACGCTAAGCCCCAAACACAGACTCAGAAGGCAGCATATTACCCGTCCCGCTCAGACAGGCACTGTTTACCTGCATTCTCTCCAGCAGCCCCGTCAGAGCCTGCTGCCAGGTCAGGGAGTGCATGTACTGCTCTGTGTTTATAATACGAATCTCTGTCTCCAGTTCAGGAACAATGGCTCCAGTCCTCCAGCCATGACGCAGCATGAGGTCCTAGAGGTCGGGATGGAAAAACAACCAAGAATTCAACATAAAGACTGAAAGCCAAACACAAACCTGCTTCCTAGAAGAGTGGTCTGTTCCCGTTATAGATTCTCAGGGGACAGGCATCCACAGCCCATGCCAGGTCATGCCAGTAACACCCATCTCCTGGCCACCAGCTGTGGAGAAACATTGGATTCACATAAACTGCTCTCAAGTTCAGACCAGCAGGTGTTCTTTACCTGCAGAACATACTCCAGCAGCCCTTTCTCCACCGTTTGCTTCTGCCTGACAGCAGAGTGGGGATGCTTATGATGTGTCCTGTGTGTGCCCTGAAAGCCTCAGCCTGCAGAGCACCCAGCACAGCATACTGGAAATCTGAGTGCCCCGAGCAGGGCCCTGCCTTACACTCTAACACAGCTGCAACCACAACGTTGTGCAAGCTTGCTCCCACCTCATGGGGGAGCAGAGACCTTGTCACTTACCGCAAGGTCGCTGTACAGATGGTCACCAAAGTAGAGCACTTTGGACCCACGCCAGCCTGTCAGCCTCAGAAAATCAAAGAGGTTACCCTGCAAGTAAAAGGAGCACAGAGATAAACGTGGTTACAGGCCAAATGCCTTCAACCTCACCACGTGGTCCTGGGTAGCCACCCCAGCAGTGCTGTCAATGCAGCTGGATGTGCCACCTTACCGCTTGTAGATGTGAGCACTCCCATGAGATGTCAACCTGCTTGCTCCCCCACCATCCAAACCCAGAGGTTTCTGTCCTTTCCCACCTTATTTCACTTTTTTCCCCATGTGACAACTAGCCTGTACATCCATCAGCTTTTTTTTAGGCTACAGAAAAAGGTAGAAACTCTTCTGAACCCAACAGGCAATTCAGGGGAAGTTCTGTGCTCTAGGGCACAGCAAGTCAAGAGGACTACTTGGACTAAAAAGGCAACAAAAGGAGGCAGTTTTGACGCCAAAATTGAAAGACACCTGAATTAGAAAAGCCTGAGGGATGAACAGAAAGAACCCCAGGTGTTCTGGGTTTAGAAGTTCTTGGGCTCAGGTGGTCATGATTTCACTTCACAGGGTGCATCAGAGGTAAGGTGAGCACCATCATGCAAGGCTTTTGGAGTCAGGAGCACTTCGGGCTGTTCTCACATCACTCACCACCATCCCAACCCAAAAGATTAACACCACCCACATGTTCACAGGAATTGCTTAACCAAGCTAAAAAGCCAGGCAGCTTGAGCAGATTCACAGCTAAGTAAAACAAACCAAACCCCAAAGCACCAGCTAAAGCACAGCCCAGAGCAGTTTTCAAGGCTTTCCAAACGTCCATCCACACTCAGAGGAGCCTTCAGGGACCCCCTCACTTCCATCTCCGCACAAGTTTTGCACATGAGTCACAATGGAAACAAAGCTCACTAGGAAAGGAAAAGGCCCCATCCGTGCCAGCAGACTATACTGTGCCAGCACAAGCAATCAAGGCAAACCTGCGAGCCACTCGCGAACGGTCTCTCCAGCCAGTCTTCAGTACCAGGAATGAGCTAGCATACCTACCTAACAGCACTGGCCCAGACATAAAACCCCCAAACACCAGCAAGCTCCCACAACAGCCTGCAAGCCCTGCATTTGGCCACTGGCAGCATGCTGTACGCACTGCAAAGGGTGCCCAGAACCAGAGTGCTGGGCCTCCCATCGACACAGCATCGCTGGAGCTGTGCAGACCTCCCTTAAGAGCATGGAAACACAGGGCCAGGCAGGCCTCTGCATTTCTTGGCCATAACATCAAGCGAGCAGCAGTGAGGGTTGCTCAGGAAGCCACTGGCAGAGCAGGGAAATGGAGCACAGCCTCAGGAGGAGGATGGTCCTTTTGCTGTGCTCTGGTCACCTCAAACAGCAGTGGATCTGGCAGCCAGGCAACTTGCACTTGAACCTCCACTGAGCCACCAACCTGTTATGTGACCTCCAGGAGCTGGCTGTCCTCCTCCCCTCCTGAGATCGCAGACTAGGGGAGGGATGGGAGCAGATACATGCCACAAACAGACAACACCATGTCTATCAGAAAGGACGGATTAGAGGGCCATCACTTGAACTTCCCAGTCCCCAGGGATCCCTGAGGTCCCATTTGTATGAGATACCCACAGCACAACCACCATACAGCTCTGCTTCAGAGGACAGGAAGAAGTCAGCTCAGAGGCCTCTAGCAACATCACCAGCACAGAAAGGTCCATGGCCACTAGCACTTGCCAGACAGAAGCATATTGGGGCACCCCAAAAAATCAGAAATGCTGGGGACAGGGTGGACTACAAGCAGGACACACACCAAGTCACATGCCAAGAATCACAGTTAGGTAACAACCTCGAAGCAGTTGGATGTACATTGTGGTGGGGGAGAACTGGACAGGAGCCCAAAATCCTACCCATCCCTCCTTCTTTCCTCATCTTTTCCCTTCCTCAACGCACCATTCACTTGAGTGAGCAACCTGTGGCCACAAGATGTAGGTCAGCAAAAGCAGGATTTAATCCAGGAATAAACCCCATGAAACTTTGCCCATGAGAGAGACTTTGTGTGAGCTCTACTTGCTTGTTCCCAGCTCCTAGCTCTTGGCAGAGGATTGGACACTAGCAGAGTCCTTTGACAGACCTACTGGACAGACCAGAGGCTTCCCAGCAGCACTACTCAAGGACATGACCTACTTTTCTAGTACAGGTCAGGTCCCAGCTACTTGACCGCAATCTCACTAATAACTTTTTCCCATGAGATTGGACGACAACTCACATAACCAAGAACAAACCATCCTAAAGCCAGAGGCCAACTTGTTCTCAGGGGATAGACCAGCTGCAAGAACACCCCAAGGCAGCAAGTTCACCAAAGTAACAACCCATCCTTCGAACTCGCTTGTCGCTTAGGAAGGGGAGAGAGACAGGAGCCAGGCTTTGTACCCTATTTGATCACCCTTGTTTCTCTATTCCTTCCTCCACAAGTCTACCTTTTCCAACTTTATGGAGGACAATTTGGAGTGAGGTACGGAAGATCTTTGCACACATATCAGATTGCAGAGAGCTCTGCCTTCTTACCCTGAACTACCACAGTCTTGGGAGCTTCTCCAGGACAAGAGTTTCATGCCCAGGACATCAGAAGAGCCAAGGGAAAACTGCATTATCAGCCACGCTGGACAATGTCAGAACAGAGCTCCTAGGGTGAAAGTTTTGTTGTACACTGACCCCTGCTACACATGCAGAAGGTGTTTCCCTACTACTCCTTCTCAGCCTGGCTGAAATAACCAGCACAAGTCCTGCTGGGCAGAAAGGCAAGCACCCAACACCCTAAGTTAACTGGCCCTGCTCTGTCCTTTCCCCCCTTGTCCCTGTCCCTCCATCTCTAATGCCAAGCCCAGCCGAGCTGGGTGGAATACATCGCTCCCATCACACACCTTTCTGCAGCATGACCTACACAGAGATAGGCAGGAAACCATTTCAGAGCTGCAGACAAAAAGTTTTCCTACTAGGCAGCTCTGCCTGCTGCAACTGTAAAAAGCTGTGACTGCCGGGAGAGCAGCCTCTTCTACACCTGGCATGAAGCCTCCCTCACCATTCTCAGAGGTTGGTTTATCACGTACTGACAGGTAACAGAGGCCTTGGCTTTCCAATATACGAAAAGACCCTTTATTCTAATGCTTACATCCCAGCAGAAGCTGAGAGACTTTTCAGAGGCATACAAATCGCAAGGCTATCGCTCCGCAGCATGCTGAGAGACATGCTGAAAAGCATTTGGGGGGACAGTGTCCTACCGGGCCAGCAAGAGCTCTCTGCCTGTGGACAGAGGCCATCTCTCGCTGCCACCAGCCAGTGCAGCACACAGAGCCTAGAGCACGTCTTCTTACAAATGCCCGCTAACTATCACAGGCACTCTTTTCAAGGACTTTAATTTTTCACTTTTCAAACATCAAACATCCATAAGTGACCTAAAGAAGAACCCATCATTCTCCCCCACCCTGACTAAGAAGATTTTCCTGTTTTCCAGTGACTTCCAAAACTGCAGATGTCTTGTAAGTTCCCACTGTTTCAGACTCTTCCTTCATACCCCTTATGCATCCGTTCACTTTACCTCTTTGTAGATCTTTCCTTTCTCCAGCTGGTTTATTTTGTCCCACTGTAGTGAACCTTTATCATCCAGTTTTCGAAAAGGTCTGGAAAAAAAGGGGGGAGACATCAACTTCTTTTGATTTTTTTGGCGATTGTTACCCAACAACCACATTTGAATCAGAAAACTTGTTTACCTATGTAACAATTTGTAATAAAAGCTCTACGTGAGAGGTGACCTTCCGGGCCTTCTACACTATTTTCTCAGGAGAAGTGAGAGGGAAATACCTTTTCAAAATGCTCCCATTGACTGTAACCATTTCATGCCAATATCCCTAACAACTCTTCTTGCTTTTCAGACACAGAGAAGAGGAAAATCATAACAATAATAAAGACTCCCTCTGAAAAGCTAAGGCCAAAAAGACTTTGCCATGAAACACTTTGTGTCCTGTTCCAGTCTGGCTACACCCCAGAACAACAGAGACCATGGAATGTCTTAATAGGATAAAGCAGTCTGCAGAGCGGATGGAAAACAGTCTCCGTGCTGATCTCGGCAGCTGACCCGAGCTGGCTCCTGTTGTTCCTGAGGGTTTGCCTGGTTACCTTCCGCTTGGGACAGAAGAAACAAAACAAGGCTTAAGTTACTTGACCCCCATGAACATTCATGCTCAATGGAAACACTGCTCCCTTTTGAGACCGGAGTTCCAAACTGTTCGCTCCAGAACTAAAAGCCTTGGTATGAAGCTGCAGAGTATGATCTCATCCAGAAGTACTGTATGAGCCTAAGCTGCCTTAGGGCAGAAGGAATCCAGCCTCCCACCATGAACTCTACAGCCTACCCGTGTGACTCCTCAACCACAAGTGGTCTCCAGCATACACCTGCGTTTTCCCTCTGAACAAACACTCCACAGCTCACTACAGCTCACCATCAGGAGGTTCCCCTCACCTTGGATGTATGTGTCATTCCACTGGCCCCTACATGAGTAAACCTTAGGCATCATGCAGCCATAAGGTTTTATCTCCTAGAGGGCCAGATCATCATAGCTCCAGGCCACATCTGTAAGATACTTCACCCACATCCCATGAAGAAAATCTTTACAAGGTCAGCACAGTTTATAAAGCCATTTCAGAGGTTTACTCCCATTTATGCTAGGGGCCTGGGAAATAGGGGAAGAAAATACATAAAGAGGAATACTGTCCCTCAAGGGCAGTAATTCCTGGTCAGTCATAAGTTGAGGCAACAAAGCAGACATAAGTTCCCAAAGCAAATAATCCAAAGAGCAAAGTGAGGACAGCAGCTTGCCTATCAGCTAGTGCATGGCAGCTTTTAACTGACCACAAACCCAGCTGCCACGTACAAATGCTTCCAGAACTGCCAATTCCCAAACAGCATGTATCCAGTAACTAAAAAAAAAACCAACAAACAAAAAACAAAACCACCAAAAAAAACCCACACCAAAACAACCATCCAACCAAAAAAACCCAACCCACACAGATATTTGCTGTGGGGGACAGGAAAAGGAAAGATTTTGGCACACTCTCAAGACCTAGAGCCAAGAAACAGCCAGCTGTCAAACACACCACTCCACTCCTCTTTTCTTTCTAAAGATTTAAGTACATTATTACCTCTAAAAATCTAACTTAAGCCCAGACCACAACAAAACTGATGAGGCTTAAGACAGCCAATTTTAGAAACGCGCTTTCTGCTTGGCACTACCCATTCCATTCACTTATTCCCAGACTGGTCAGTTTTCATCTCCTCAGAGTATCTGAGAGGACAGCGGAGGGCTGGATGCCTGTTGGACCTAGATTATGCTTAGAAAACCACTACTCTTTTGGAAGGTAAAAGGAGCTGTTTACTCCAGGGAAGGGTGCCCAAAACCTCAGGCCCACATGCAGCAGTGCAGTATTGCCCCGGGACACATACTTCCGCCGATCAGTGAAAAAGTTGGGCTTGTCAGCTTGCACAATGACCATGTCGAATAAGTCCCGCCAGTTCTTGCCAACCATGTGTTTCATTCCTTTGTCCCTAAGGGCAAAGGAACAGAAAAGTTAACAGATCCAGTACTCTTTTTCACCCAACACTGCACCTTTACAGCAGTCTGTCCTAAATTTACCCTCATATCAGTAACAGAGAAGAAAGCATAGAGATTTGTGAATCCCCCAAGACTGTCTCATTGCATGGAGTACTGATGTAGCACTTTGACCGTTTCAAGCTGTCTCACCTTTTCTCCTGTACCAGACCTCGTGGACCATGGGAAGTCCAGACAAGTCCGTAACACAGCAAAAGCTGCTAGAGGTAATCCAAAGTGGCAGCTCTGTAATGTTGTGGCCAGCCACAGCCTCATATCTTCTTCAAAAAGTGAGAGTCAATGACGTAGAGTGAGCTGTGGGGTGCAGCATTCACCACAACAGATTCCCAGAGAGCAGTCTCATGACCATTGCCACAAAAACCTCTAGCATACAACTTTCAGATGCTCACAGGACAGCCCACACTGCACAGCTCTTGCTGTGCCATGGTGACACAATGATGTGCAATAACAATACTCACACAAAGCTAAAGGGACTGTTCGTAATGAGGAAGAGTTTCTTCTTGTGGTTCACCAGTCGGTTTAGCACAGCATAGATTTCATCCCCGTGCAGAATATACTGTTCTATATTGGAATAAAACAGGTATCACCAATGAAAAAATTTTGGAATAAGTCATGACCACATTTCTTTAAAAACAAAACCAAATCCCTGGGGAGGCAAAAGGCCTGAGTTAGAACCACCTCAGGCAGGCAGGTAGTGAACCACCATGGTAACAAAATGGCCTTCCTCATCCTCATCAATCCCATCTATAGGGAAGAGAAAGACTGAGGAACTGACAAGGCTAGCAAAAAAGAGGGCTAATACCAAACTACCACAAGGGACAAGCACAGCCACTCCACGCCATGTTGCTACCAGGAGCTTTCTTTTCCCCAAATGACGAGGAAGCCTTCCCAGATGGTGCCTTTGCATGTTCACGTCATGCCAAGGACCATCATCCCTCATAAGCTGAAGGAAAACAGAAACACAAGCAGTGAGGTAGCCGTTTACTCCATTAAAACAGATGCTCCACCTGACCCTAAATACCACTTGGTTCTTAATGCCACTCTACCCCTCAGCTGCCTTTAGACATGCTACAATCAAGTATTTCAAAGTTCTGTGTCCCCCTGATTCCTGTGATTGTGTGTAGGGCCTACACAGTCATGTTACACAGAAGACCACATATTATGAGATACATTAAAACAGATTTGGGACCAGAGCTCTGCTTAACTCACCCATATCTTTTTCAATCCATTTGTACATCACTCCTTTCACATGTACATCTCTAATAGCATCCTAAAAAAAAAGGGCAGGGAAAAAAGTTTCAGTTTTTCATATGGCAGTCCTGTTTCCCAGCATGCAAACCTATTGCCACCACTGAGGACCAATACAGCAATGACACATCCCCTCTTCTTGCTGAGTGAACAAAAGCTATGTTAATGCCAAACAGAGGACCTTGTACAGAGAGGCTCACCAACATGCCAGAAAGAACAACACAGTGGCTAGCTTAGTTGATGCAGTACAAGCAGGAAAACCTCAAAACCTACCTATGAAAGCACAACTTCCTTCCTGCTCCTGGAAACCAGCACATGTTAACACACGGTTACCAAGACAATCAAGACTGTGCAACTCCAAAACCATTTACTGCCCCAAAGCTGTACTGGCCAGACACTAGCTGGCTTTTCTTCCTCCCTATGCCTGTGGAAGCTCTGCCGAACGTGACCCAAAGGATGGGAGCATGGCTGAGGCAAACAACAGCAGAAGTGAGTATCTGTGAATCCAAAATGCTCCCCACAAGCCAAGGAGAGCTACAGCTTCCAGCCTCAGATGGCCAGCAGCCACAGGCAGAGCAGAAGCTTCCACTAGGAGGGTGAGGGTTTTTTGCCAGAGCTGCCTATTTTTCAGGAGGGAGGCAAGTTAAAACAGATATTGTCAAAGGTATCCAAATATCCTCTGTTTTCCAGGCCAGAGGCCAAGATGTAACACATTTCTTGACACACCCGACTGAGATTCTTCCCAAGTCTCCATCCAAAGAGTTATGCCAGATACACAAAAATATTTCCAGAGTAGCAACGTATTTTGCAGTGTTTGCAATGCAAACACCTGTTTTAACAGTGCTGTCTTCATCCCTGGCAATTTTAAACAAACACTGCCTTTCCCCAGGACCCTCAAATCTCTGTTACACTATGTGTGCTTCTTCGGGAGCTGCACTTTCAGACTGGATTCCCAAACTCACCACTGACTTTGCTACAGTGATACTCGCACACGATGCCACGCAGTCACCTGCTCACATGGCTGGGAGAGAACCACAATTTAGATCTTAGATGGGGGACAAAGGAGGAGGAGGCATTACCTCTTCAAAACAGATTTCTATGAGTCTCTTTCCACCACGTGGATTTGAATGGTAAAAAGGCAGAGCTCACATCTCATTCACTAAGAGACTGCCTTATCAGAAAGAAACTGAACAAAAAGCAAGAGGGATAACACTAAAACAACTTTCTCTTGACCAGCACTGCCACTAAAAGCAAACAACACTTTCTACGTGTGTCAAAACTACCTTTTTGTTTCAGTGTGCTCCTCCCCTAAACCCCTGCCCCCCAAAAAGCAAAAGCAAAAAACAAGGTGGGGAGGTAAAAACTTGGTAGCCTGGGGAGGTGTCTAACAGGGCTCCAAAACTGCTCCAAAGGAAAGCCGGATAAACTGTAAGTTCTTACTCTCAAATACGAAGCAACCAGACTGGTGTGACAAGACTACTTGGTTAACACGTCAGCTTTAACCTTTTATCATTACCTCAGGGTCTGCCCTCTTGACTCAGTGCAGTGTCTCTAGCACTCAACCTGCTCCCAAACACACAGCACTGCAATCAGGATTACCACTAAGAATTACAGAACAGTGTCAGGTTGAGACATGTCTTAACCCACTGTGAGCCTGTGCTGTAATAACAGCTGGGGCTATGCAAGTCCTCTCAGACACCTGTCTGTGTAGGTACAGAAGGATCTCTGCGCTTATGTCTGCAAGCAACTTCTTTGCACTTGGGTACTGCAAAGGGATAAGTTTTGCAAAAAAGTTTATCCTCATTGTACAGAAAAAAGCACAAACTATGCTGGTGAGAGCACAGGACAGTCCCCAGCTTTTCATTACAGATTTCAGGTACTGGCACAGATTTTCTGTTGGAGTTCTCTTCTCTGCCTACCTCAGCCACTCCTCAGGAATGACCACATCGCTCAGCAAAGGGTGTGAAGACAAATGCCAGGATTAGCACTCAGGAGTTTTGGGCCTTGAGCATACCACTTGCTCTGTACTGACTATGTATCAGGCTGTGGCAACCACCCACCTGCTCTAAAGATTTCAATTGGGAACACGTCTATTTTGACCTCAAAAGAAGGTTGAGAAGACACTCTTGACAAAAGGCCTCAGGAGTCACCTATATCCCCTCTTCCCATTTTCCCCATCCCAAGAGAGAAAACAACTAACACCCTAGAAACCTGTTATGGTATTGTGGGAAACTGGCTGGCATGCTTTTATCAAGCACTAACAGATGGTCAGAACGTAAGCTGTAATCCTTGACTGCAGCAAAGCTGATAGGGTGAATCCTTATCACAAAAGAAGCAGCACAGATATGGAGCTCTATTTCCCTGACAAGAAGACTGAACAGTGTATGTATGGGCTGCTACCAATGGATGAGCATCAGACTCCCACAAGGTACAAATCAAAACCCCCTCTCCATGGAAAAAGGCATGCCATAAGGCTTAGCTACTAAGGCAGATGCATCCTCTGTCAACAGAAGTCATCCAGGGCAGCCATCTCAAGCACTTATTACATCCTGCCTAGCATTAACTAAGAAGTCAAACAGTACCCACTAATAGTGCTGATAATCCCATGTGGCCCTTTCAAATGCCAGGAGTGAAGCTGGAGAGCACAGTTAGCACCTTGGAGTAACTGGCTCTTGAAAACTACAGTCACCCACTGGAAAACATCTGGAAAGGATCAGACTAGTTTATAGCTGCAAAGGGAAGGGGTGGATTCTCAGAGCTGCCAAGGGCAGGTGTTTCACAACAAGCACTGTATAAAGCAAACTGTTTCGTATACGGTCAGACCAGCCTCTTTGAAAAATGAGTTATTAACAGGAAAACATAGAGCTTAGAAGTCTGCAGAACCAGAAAACATTTATACAAGCTTTGTGACATATTTCCCACAGCAGGACTGTCAATCTAACTAGCCTAGGCACTCCTGCAAGAGATAACGTACAGCAACACCAACTCTGTAGTACAGACAGAAACCTAACATGTTCCAAAAACACAGCTTTGAACATTCCCTTGTAATGCTTTAATCTAAAGGGTCAAAATGCTGTCATATTACACTACTCACTAACAGCCCCTTAGGTTTGGGTTCTGCAGAGCACACTGGCACTAACAAGCCAAGATGCTCACAGTTCTGATGTGCTATGAGCTATGGGGCAGTTGACATTTTACTTACAGATATATCCTTGTAAAGATGCACCTGGTCAAACTCAATGCCATGAGTTATGAAGTAATCAATGACTGAAGAGAGCAACGTCATTTCAGGAAGAGAAAAAATGTCCATAAACTGCTTAAGTGACGGACCCTGGAAAGCAAAAAAAAAAAAAAAAAAAAAAGAAAAAAAATAAAAAAAAAAACCTCTAAAAAAAAAAAAAAAAAAAAAAAAAAAGCAAAGCCAACAAACAAACTTGTATCACCCAGTACCATCTGGAAGACATTCCAGGCTAACAAAAAGAAAAACACTAATATGGAAAGTCCCAGCCACTCAGCAAGTAGCCCTCTGTTCTCAACCAAAACGCTAACCTAATGCATTAACACTTGACAAGAGAGAGGCTTCTCCTTCACAGAAATCATTAAACAAACCCAGCATCATTAACACCATGGGGTGAAGGTGGAGGAAGCAGGAAGTCAGTCCTAGACACTAACTTTTATTTCAACACCATGCCCTCTGCTTCCCACCCTGGCCTCTTGGCATTACCACAGGTGCCAACAGACAACGTTCCGCTACAGAAGCAGCTACAGCTGTTGCTGGAGGTGCCCCATTGCCCATCTAAACCAGGCTGTGACACTGGACACATGGGCACCAAAGCTGCTCTAACCACATTATAGTGAGGTTTCACACATTAATGCAAGAATCACTCCAATAAGCAGTTTGTCAATGGCTGTTGCCCTTGAGTCACTATGGAAAACTCAAAGTGGGCACAAAGAAGGAAGAACTTCACCCCACTCAGCAGACAAACGGAAACGGACAATTAAATCCCGACCAAGGAATAACTCACCTTGTATTAGGCAAGGTTGCAGCTCTTCCATACATTTGCTATTTTTATTGCCTACCAATCACAAAACTATCAGCAGGTCAACAGCCAACTTTGGCTCCAGAGAGGCCTTCCAGGAAAATAAAGCTTGTTTATTCAGTATGTACCACCTGTGCAGAGGACTACGGTGAGTCTCGCTGGTAAGCAGAAGCTAGAATCATTTTTTTCCATCTATCACTGAAGTGCCAGGTCAGCCAAGGGGACAGTTACTAGGGTTTTGCGTATGAAAAGCAATCTGGGAAGTGCATAGACCTCTCAATGAACCCAGTCGCCAGAGGTGCCCTGGCAATCCAGTCACATCATGCCTATGCATGTGAACTTTGAGCAATCCATGACTAACAGCCGCAAAGTTGCGACTCTCTAGGATAATACTGGTCCACATCAGAAGGCGTTTCTTATTGCTATGTGGAAGATGGATATGAAAGCAGCATCCAAAAGATCACAGAAGGTACACATGGTGGAAGCTGACAGAGGGCACATGCTGCCTAATGACAAACATGTGCCACTGCCATGTCAGGATGTAACAACAGTAACATCTCCCATTTCATCTGGTCTTGTAAGGGTAGAACAAGAGACTAGCACTCTGTTTGAAGCACCATCTAAAGGCAGTATCGGGACAACATAAATTTGGATCAACAAAGACGCAAAACAGCATTCTGTTACAAATAAAAATGCTGCGATCCAAAGCTATGCTGGTGTGCTAAGGGTTATACAGTTTCTATCCAGCCAGCACAGGACAACTTGACCTACAGCAGAAGAGAAGACAAAGAACACCCTCTGGTTTGGGCCACATACTGCACATGGTGGTGCTGCTTAGCAATACTTGCTGAATCCTTTCAACAGACTTTTGTCTGTTTTGATGTGTGGTTGCTAAGGGAACATTCGTCCCACTAGCAAAACCAAAATTTCCTGAAAACAGCCCCCACTTTGTTTCCTGTTCAGGGACTCTGGGAAAGAAGTAAGAGGGACACAGACAGGCAGTTCCTACTGAAATCACTAGGTATGGGACTTAGCAGAGCAATGACCTGTCCCACCAAGACCTTAAACATAGAGGAGACAGTTAAATGTTCAATGTTAACAGCAAGGACTTACCTTGTCAACTCTGATTCCATTTTTGTGCCTTATGCCATCATCCTACAATGCAAATTCAGACTCCCCCCTCCCTTTAGTGGCTCAGCTTCCTTACAGCAGACATACTGACACAAGTCAGGGTGGAAACTGGACCATAATTTTAGAAAGAACACTACATATGCTTTTTCCACAACACCCATAAGTTCCCCACCTTCATCACAGGCCAGCACAAGCCACACCAGTTGCATTGTCTAACCCTGGGCAAGATCTGTGCCTACCTACTGCAGGTTTTGGGATGCCAGTAGCTGCCCACACATTCCTGCCAACAAAGAATCAAGAAAACCCTTGAGGGAGAATATTTACACATCTCAGCTAGATCAGTCCCACTTGTCTTATGCCTTGTTATGTCTTATGCCTGGAATCACTGACCTGGCAGACCTTCCTGTTACCTATACAGGTAGCAACATCAGCATGGCAGACTAAAGAGGACAAGGCCAAAGATCCCTGCTAAAGCCTCACTCCACATCAACTGCACTGCACCTGCTCACACCAGCAGTCACCTTAACCCAGATGCTTTCCCACTAAGGTGTTAGTGGCACAGGTTGAACAGACATTGCTGGATGCAAATGTCATTAGTTGTATATACTTTTGTTCTCTTTGGGATCCACCTATTAGTTTATGGAGTTCTTTACATTATTAGGAGAGGAGATTCACCTCTTTGCAAAGAATAAGCTGCTATTCCTAATTCTGTGGCCGAACGTTGTATCGAATTTTTGAGTACTGAACTATGGAAGAGAACATCTGGTATGTACAAAGCAGCACAGAAAGGCACGTGGACCTACAAAAGGCCACAACTCAAAGCAAGTTTCGTGTTTATAATTATTTAAAAAGAAAGGTGAAATCACCACAAGTTTGCCAAGAGTGAGGAGAGTTGCATATAGGGAGGCTAACCAAGTGCCGTTTACAGGCACGTATCAAATTTGAAACAGAAACATCCTATTTCAAAGCTGTAAACAACACTGAGCTATAAAGAGAGTATATGTTTATCCAATTGTGTGTGTGAGAGGAGAGAGAGAGAGGAGGGGGGAGAG